AGAAAAATCAACTCTAGTCGGATAAAATGAAAGCCAAAATCAAGGACTCATGGTGGAATGGGAGTTGAAATTAAAGAACAATTAGTAATTGTGTGGTTTTCGATGTCAATGCATTTCCAATCAGGGGTTCCATACAAGTAACAACTTTTTTATAATTATAATGAACTGATCGTTGCAAAATAGGGGCAACTCTCTTAAAGCTTGCTTGCCATGTCTAAAGGATAGGAGGCACTCCAAAAATATTCATCCTTTTTTATTCTTATTTTTTTGGTGAGGTCTTTGATTTAATCACTCTCCTGGCAATTTTTTTTTAAGTTTTGGTTTGTGATTAATTAGCTGATAACTTGACTAGTCAAAATTCTCTCAAATGCTACATATACAATAGCATGCAAGCAAGATTTTTTTTTTTGGTGGCGTTTAAAGCTCATCTACCACATGGAAAATTAACAAAACCAAAACAAATTTATAAAGGAGAGAAAGCATCTAGGATCATGGGATATTGGTCAATCTGTTCTCTTAAGCAAGCTAACTTGTAATCTATACTTGACTAACCTACATTTTAAAGTCTTATTCTATTCTTTCGATTCCAAATTTATATATGGTTTTGTCCGACACAAACTTTAATGTTCACGAGCACTAGTCTAAATTTCATCTTTTTTTCCCTTCTTATCGAAAGCATTGAAATTGAAATAAATAAATAAATGCAGAAACCGAACACATGCCTTTATTTAACAATGTAATCGTTAGCTAATTGAACAATGATCGTGTCCGATTTCCTAATGGGAAGACTTAACTCTTATCTTTTTTTGTCTTTGAACATGTGGGATAAGAATACCACAGGCGCATGTGATCTGCTTGTTCTAGTTCTGATGCAATGACGCTATGTACCGCATAATTTTATAGCAGAGAGAGAATCGTTATAGGAACATGAGACATAATTCCCCGTATCTTTGTTCAAATCAATTTCTCTTTTTTTCTTTTTTTCCTCGCTGTCTGAACCGAAATGTGTTAAAAATATGGCGTGGAGGAACAAGAAATCGTCCAGGATGATTCGGAGCAAGCTAAGTTATCACTGCATTTTTATTGCTTGATTTCGTGATCTTACTACTATTGATTACGATTAAGAATTCAGGATTTTGTTCTCCTTTGTCAGACAATCTTGTACAAAGATCATGGATTTAACTTTAAAAACAAACATACATCATGTCAAGATGCTTTTATATCTTATCTCCAGAAAGAAAAGAACAAAGAAAAAAGAAAAAGAAGAAGAGATATTTTGTATCTAACTCGAGCCACAAAATAAAGGGAAAAAATAAAGTTAAGGAAAAGCAACCAAAAATTATGGGGTTAATTTGTCACTTGACCCAAATAAAAGCGAGATTATTTCCACTAGGCCCATTAAACGCTGCCTTCAATTATTGTTGGGCCGTGTGGCACTCTATCATAAAGTTTGCAAAGCCTCAGAGACCATTGAGCTGCCGGAAGCTCAACAAGGATGCGACCGCCGAGAAACGCCAGAAATCCTAGATCATGCCCCAAATGGCTTTCTCTGATTCTTTATTTTTATTTTCATTTTTATTTTTTTATGAACGTAATCGAAGTTCGACTTATTCGAGAGTAGGAATAATTTGAGAAACCTATTTGGAACATGATTGTTCAGAATCATAGCATTATGCCAGCAATTAACCACTAATATATGTAAATAAAGATTTAAAAAAAAGGACAACGAAAAGAAAGAAACGTCCCCAGTTCTCCAAGATACGCAGCCCTCTGAATAGAAAAAACAATTTCAAAGCATCACGGTATAAGGACAAAAATGGTTGGTTACTTGACGATTTAACATTTCTGATAATTAAAAACATATTTTAATTTGTAGGTGCATTGAGAGATTTACATTTTTTGAAGGTTTAAATTTAGCGAAATTGTTGATTTAATTATTTTTTTTTCTTAGAATGACCTAATCAATAGCTTCATTCGTTATTTTGCGTAAAATTCGGTGCATGCAATTAATTATATTATATTCGTTACCGCATGTTTTAGTTTAGTTACAGCTAGTTTTCAATTCAACATTAAATTCCCCCAATCTAATTTCTCACTAGCCTAATTTAAATTTAACTTTGTAAGAATTGTTCTAACCTGACCTAGTTTATCTAATGCATGTCTAAAAATAATTTAAATGATTGATTAAATTGATCTGAATTTTATAATTTAAATTATAAAAATTGTGAGCCAGATTATGAAGTTTGTTAAGTTTAAAAAATTTTATTTTAAAAGTTTTTATATTTAATAACATGGTAAGAAAAATAAACAGTTGTAAAAATTAAATTTCAACTAAATATCCAGATATATATTTAAAAATGTGATGATTTTATTGAAAAATATAAAATAAATTATGAACAACCAATTCAAAATTAATAAAGTAAAATTATAAAATTGAAAGTAAAAAAAATTTAAAAGGTAGAATTTTTAAAACAGAATAAATAAATAAATAAATAAGGTAATTTACTGTTTGTATAACACTAAATAAATACTAAAGCACTGTAATGTTCTCCATTTCTTTTAATGGAGAGAATAATAAAAATAAGTGTTGAATTATGGAAAATTTAACTGTAGTACTTTACTTCTCGTAACTTCCTTAAAAATCCTGTAACAACGTGTAAGCCATAATTTTTCATCAACTTTGTACTAAAATGGTTCTGCGTGTTCGGAACGGGCTTCCCTCGAGTTTTAGTTTCGTTCATTTTCTTCGATCAGTTAATTAGGCTAATGATGTCTCACATAAAAACACAACACAACTAATAATTAGCATAACCTCTTTTGATTCATCTTCTTAATGTTTCCTCTCTAATTTTTTTTCTTTTCTTTATTTTTCTCGGATCAATTTACACGTAAATTGAGAATAATGTTTTTCTTGAATGATTCTAGTGACACATTCTTCGTATTAGAATAATACATTAAGAAGATCTTAATAAGTTTAGCTTTCAAGTTTGAAACTAGAAATCTAAGAAAAAATCTCCGTCAATCCTTCGAGATTTCTCTTTTCCTTACATAACACATGTTTTCAATACTAAAAAGGGGAATAGAAGAAGACCATACACGAACAAAACTTCAAAAGCTCCATCAATGTTAATTATCGACTCGATTTCTTCATATGTTGATAAAGATTTTTGCTGTCGAGAACTCAAGTCACCAAAATTCATCACTTATTAATACTCAATCTGTTTGTTGGCGCTTTGAGATCACCCGACAAAATAAGCTTTATTCAAGGTTTTTGGTTAATTTGTTTATTACTGATAAATATATACTAGTGTCTTGATGGGGGTCAAAGAATTGTAAAAAATAAGCTGAATATTATCAGTTGACAGGTAATTTTAAATTACTTTTCACTAATCGACTTAATCATTCTTGGAAAATTATACTTGAGGGGAGAAGGATCCAAGAAAATCACAACCTTTTCATTTTGAAATTTCGAATTCGTCCATTCTGTTTCGATTATTTCTGTGTTTTCTTCTGTTTTTTCAATCAATTATTAGAAATTTGCTTGTTATCAATTAAGCTCAAATTGAAATAAAAAAGATAGATTTTCCACCATTTTTAACTGCTAGCTAAGAACAAAATAATGATGATCGTAACTGATTATTTATTAGAATCTATCCATATATATTGAATTAACATGCTGTTATCTGCTATGATGAGCGGATGCTATCCAACTCACCGGCTTCAAGTCAATTGCTGTAATACAAATGCAAGAATAACAAGAAATTCATCTTATTAAGTTAAACATTGCAAATAACATCATTTGACTTGAATCTCATGCAAATTACAAAAAATCAGCTAAATGTTAGGGTTTACTAATTTTGTTGTTTATTCTTTCAGATAGCACAGCAGGCTCAATCCAAACCCTTGTTATAAATAATGTCAATGGGCCAATTCAAGTGTCACTGGGCGTTCAACTAGATGATCGTGAGTTTAAAAGAGTGATCTTGAGATATTGACTATCACTCAAACATTCCGCAGCCAAAGCACTTCACCGCACACCTAGAACACAGGATTGTCCAATGTTAAAAACAGAACACCCTAAATTGTCCAAAAACATAGGCAACATCAAATATAAAGCAATCCAAATACAATACATACTTTGAGAGACAGTTCATTAGTTCCAATTCCATGCATGGCTTTAGTTAAAATATTTGTATGCTCAGCTGCATAGTGGAACTAATTGAATAGTACTTGGTACTTGCAAGAAGATTTATGACAAATAAGAAAAGATATGGCAGGCGTGAAGCCATAATACAGAATTGATACATCAGGAATGATTTCATCGACATCCATCACTCACAAAATCACTTACAATAACATGGTTCCTTTCAAGATTGATCATCAGATAACACAGGTTTCTTACGATGACTTGGAAATCACTTTACCTGGCATAATCGAATATGCAACATGTACATGAGATTAAAAGCCTTGAGTACAGTGGATAGATACATACAAGGAAGAAAATTGCCACCAAAATGGAAAGAGAACAAAAGGTGAAGGATTTATGTGGAGCAGAAGAATTCAAGACAATATTGAAATGTTTATAGAAACGGTTGTTTCGGTCAAAAAAGAAAGGGTTCCAGTACCGATTAAAAGCCTACAGGGTAAAGTGGATAATCCACTTCATCATCTAGCTCCTACAATAGAACTACAATCAAGGCTGCAAATTCTTTCTTTTGAGCCAGATCGATCAACACAAAATAATTCCCATTAATATATATGGCATGAGCAATTTCCTGAGTAGTGTACATATCAGATTACTTGAGCAGTACTTCCACAAGATATTAGACAGCCAATTGATTTATCTTTTGCACATACATTAACTATTTACAGCAAAAACAAAGATCAAATGTCAATCTAATTAAGGTATCTCATTCCCATGGTATCTAAAATATTTACTTTGCTTTAGAAAGAAAAACATATATATATATATATAGTACCTGGTAAAAACTCAGTTAATTAAACGTGTATGGGTGTATACCAAGCAGCCTATCAAGCTAGGCACAAGCTATTATCTGAAAGAATAAAAAACAAAATTAGTAAACCCTAATAAATAGCTTAAAATTAAACGGATATTTTCTTGAATATTTTATCACACACACCCCGAAATTTTGAGAAATCAGAAGATCTTCCCTGAACCTGAAAAAATAAAACATAGTTGCCAAGAATATGTTTAGAAGAACACACGGTAATTCCTTCTTTTAATTCTCAAATGTACAACTACAATATTGGTGATATGAAACTGAAAGGCAAAATAAGAAAATCCCGTCATCAAGCTAAAGATTTTGATGAAGAGGCAACGGAAAAATCGAAACTCTACAAATCTACATGTACAAAAGAGCAAAAAAATGATTGTATGTGTGACTTGGTGCATTCAAGCACATCATATCCCGAGAATAATTAAAAGCTTTGTCAGTAATATGAACACTTGCACATATTATACACAGCTGGGAATGATGATCAAGATCTAAAGAAAGGACGATAAGAGAAGAAACATATATAGAGAGAACAAAAGAACCTCCATGGATCCAAGAAATAAAAGAGGCCCACGATGTCTAACGATGTACAGGTTCATACCGAAGTACAGACATACTTAATAAGATCAGATCAAGAGGTGGTGGCAGTACCAAAAAATCACCTGGAAAAAGTAAGTCAGATAAAAGCCCTCAAAAGGAATCATCACAACAAATTCAAATCTCTTAAGTGAACACAGAGATTTACACCCTATTACCAAAACCCTGGTGCAAGTTCGGGTTAAACAACACAAAACCCTAACAGGTATCAATGACTGAAAATAGCCAAAACAAATTAAGTAGTGAACCGAAACATAAGCTTCAAGAATGCTGTTTAATAATTTAACTGAGTATAAAAAACGGTATATATTTCAATTTCAAAGTATTTATTGAGTTTACCTTCATCTTTGGGAGCCGGTAAAGTTGGAGAAAAGGAGATAAATAAGCCATTTATTGCCGCTGCAGCATCATCAAGATTCCCAATTCAAAGGGCTATTGGATTGAGAAAAAGGGACCACCAAAAGCCACCATCATCACCACTCACTTGCCCTAATAAAGCTTGTGAATCTTGATGATGCTCCATAGGCAAACAGTGACTGGTTTCGTTAATTTCTTCTAGAACTTCGCAACCATCATCATCATCATCTCACTATCCCCATGCAAAAGAGATAACAAAACGAACGGGAAAGACCAGAGTAGAGAGCTATTTGGCTAATTAGGACTTTTTCTCTCCTACCTTTATTTTTCTTTAGCAAAGGGAACCCTAATCCAAACCCTAAATCTATCCAATGAGGGGAAAGTGAAGGGAAAAAAAAGTATAACGAACGATAATTAAAAAAAGCTTTAAAAGTTTAACCCCCTGTCCAGGAGTGGGAAATAAGTTAGACCCACTTGGTACAAAAAGCTATTACTGGCGCCTGTTCTTAAGCACAAACGGACAAATGCTAAAGAAAGAGTCAAGAGAACACGGAGAACTATTTACTCAACAACATAAAAAGCCTCAAGAAAAAGACTCAATGGGCAGACAAGGGGAGGAAAGGAGAAGATGGTTGAGTGCTGAAACATTGAAGTGTGTTAGGGGTATAAATACTCTTAGTGGAGGCTCACTAGGGTTACCATGGGGAATGAATACTAGAGGTGCGATGATTATTTGGTTGGATTTGTAAGGCGGGTGGTGTGTGGGCGGGTTGTTGGTGTGCCCACAACAGTTATCCATCGTAATCCACGGTACCAAATATACCAAAATCTTTAAACCTCACTGACCAAGTCATTCTTTCTTTTATCAAAGGAACAATAGCCACTTTGAGAATGAGAAAATGAACTTCTGACCGCCAGTAATGGTAGATGTTGATAAAGGTTGCGTCTTCTACAAGCGTTTTCATGTGGGCGGCATGGGGGATGGAATTGACAAGGCCATGACCAGTCCTCGCATGTCAAGTGACCCGGGATGGTGGAGAAGGGGGTCTCCTAGGGTTTCAGGTTCCTTGTTTTGATCCCTCGCTTGCTATTTTGGGCCCTTTTGAAGCTTTTCTCCGTGACTAAGAATTGCAAAGTTTATGCCCACTTTTGTTTTTTGTTTTTAAGTTCTATCTACAGTCTAATTTATCCAACAGGCCAAGAGTACTTAACTAGATACGTAAAGTAATACTTGTTTCTCTAGTGCTCATTTTCATCGACATATATGTACATATACCCTATATACCCCCCTATTTCAGGCTCCACTTCATCATTGAGATTCAGTGTTTTCGTGGGTTATATAATTTAAGTTGTACTCCCATTTTCATGTCTGTATATCTTCCATTTTTTTTATGAATATATACACTTACATGGTTTTTTAAGTTAAAACCATGGACGAGATACTTTAAGTTCTGATCTTTCTGTGCATGTATCTATACATGCATATGTAACTTAAGATTTGCTCCAGCCTCCAGCTGATATAATGTTATGACTGCCGTGTATATTGTGATAGACAAATGGTAAGCTACCGGTTCCTTTTCTCATGGTAATTATTTCTTGTTTGAAGGGCTTGTCCATACATTTCCTCTATGTGCATTCTAGCTTCAGGGATATGGGGTCATCGTTGAATTATTGAATTTCAGTAGGCCCCTCAAAGTACATTAATTAATTTACTTTCGCATTGATTTGCAGTCGACTGGAGTATCCTAGTCTTGCGTGAAATTATTCCCCTATCCACCGGCCTCTCTCTCACTGGAATTTTCATGCGAGGTTCGATTTTCTACTGATCAGGTGTTTCAATTTGAAAGGCCTATCCAAGATATTTCTGTTTCTATTTAATTACCACTGATTCAGAATTCTCAGTTTCCATTCACACCGTACGGTACGTGTTATCGGTTCCAGGGCCTCCACCACCTAGCTAGATTGTGCAGATTTTCTCTTTGCCCAACACTTCAGACAATTTTGTGCATTGGACGTTTATTTAAACATATATATATATATATATATATATATATGTACTAGCCAGATATCAAATAAATAAAAAATTTGTGCGTGAAATCTCTGTCTTCGTTCATTAAAGTTTTCGAAACTTGGAATACCAAGAGGAAACTGTGATAAACCCCCCCACCCCCAGCAATTTAGTTATATTAACCACCTTCTGTATGTGTGTGTCTATATATAAACAATGATAGTAATCTAAATGATAAACCCCCCCACCCCCAGCAATTTAGCTATATTAACCACAGAAGTATGTGTGTGTCTATATATAAACAATGATAGTAATCTAAAATGTAATATGTTCAATAATAAAAAAAAAATTAATATTTAAATAGAAAGTGATCACATTAATTTTTTTTTTAGCATTTAAAAAATTAATGATTAGGAATATAAGACCCATCATCTGCAAAATATATTTTTTTATGGGATTTAGCTAGTGATTTTTCGATGGTAACATCAATAATTTTTAATAAATTATAAAAAATAAAAAAATAAGTTTAAAATTATTTAAAACAATGATATTTATTTTTAATTATCATGCTCTATAAAATAAAAATACAAAAAGAGAGATTTATCTTTCCCGCACATTAATTATCTATGAATGTATTAAAAATGCTTTTATAGTACCGGTACCAAGTGGAATGAATTTAAGAAGATCATCTCATATATGTGAGATTTTTTATGTTCATTGTATGTATATCGTTCTTGGCTTCCACCTTGCATACCAACTTGCGCACGATTCTAAACTTACGTCTCTTTCTGAGGGACTCGAATTGTAATGTTCTAGATTTCTTTGAGTATCACCATCATCGTCAACCAAATCACAATGTGAATGGTGACTTGTATAATTACTGGTTTGAATCTCAGCTTTGAGACATAATTGCCTAGGATAATGAAGAAACCATTTTCAATTTAATGATAATTAGTTGCTCTGTAGGGTTTGCTTTGTTATTGGCATGGCTAACCAAAACAAAACATAAGATTACAGCAGCAACAATAATTGTATATTTGAATTTTGTGAGAAATTGTAAGAAAATTAACTTTCTTTTCAATTTCTTTTCTTAAATGAAATCATTAAATTGCCATCCAGGTGTAATGGTGGGTTATATTAATGGCCGCCATATAACTCTCAACGAGCTTATGATGAGCTATAACTAATATATAATATATTTGTTTAAGAATAAGCACTGTGATAAGCTATAGTTCAATCATTTTTTTGAACAATTCAGCTTATCCAATTAGGCCTGCAAAGTACCAAGTGATTTGATTGGATAGCTTTCACCTTATCATCCATGAAACTTGCATTGGCGAGGGGAGAGGATACATAGGCATGTTGATTGGATCACTTGTTATATTGAGTTGATGTTATTGATGTTGTTTAGATTGTTGGTTTACATGATAATATAATAATGACTAGCTAGTGGATAATATAATTTATAGTATGAATATAATTATTCATTCTTATTATTATGGTGTCCTTTTATGTATTTTTTATTGTTATTTTTTTGCTTTTCTTTTTATATTGTGACGCAACTTGTTGTTTATAAGAAAATATTACTAACCCTATAATATTTTCTGCCCAATCTTGATTATTATCAAAACATGAATTCTCAGGAATATGATATAATCAACATTATTTGTAAAAGACCAACTATATATGCACGTGAGTTTTTTTTTTTCTTTTCCTCTCAATTATAAACCTCCATAGGTATTGACTAGAGCTTATAACAGGTGTGTATTCATTGATATTGTACGGTAGAATATTTTTTAAAAGTGTATTTAATTGGAAAATGTATTGATATTTTTTTTTATTTTTTATGAATTTTTAACATTAGCTTATAAAAATAATAAAAAATAATAAAAAATACAATTTAATACTTTTTCCTACCAAATATTCTTTCAAAGCGCATCCACGTTCAGGCTGAACGGCAATGTCAAATAGCCTCCTCCTACAATACATGGCTGTGTGGTACATTGGTAGTTAAGAGAGTTCTCCCTGGGCCTTTATGTCCAAAGAAAACCATCAACGCTAGGAATAAAAAAAACACCTGAGAAAGAGAGAATGGACTTGATGACTGATGTGACAATGTTGATGTTGCTGCCTGGCGTACGGTGTCTTAAAAACAGAGAGGAACCAGTGTTGAACACAGTGAAAGTGGAGAAGTTTACCCATATTGCGCAATGCCAACTAGCAAGCATCCTCCTCGTACGTACAAACTCCTGCCTTCTCTTTCTCGTTTTTGTTACTACTTTGTCGCCCCTCTAGGTTGCTGCAATGCTTTGCCCTCCTGGATGCCATAATTAATGTTGTTATATAAATGTTTAGCAGCATTTCTACAGATTCTAGCGACGCTCTCCCCTTGTACTGGGTTTGTTTTCATGCTTCTACCATGTTGTAAAAAGTTTCGTTTTTTTATAAAAAAATAGTTTTTTTATGATTTTATATTGTTTTTATATCCTATATATACTGGGTTTGTTTTCATGCTTCTACCATGCTGTAAAAAGTTTCGTTTTTATTATAAAAAATAATTTTTTTTATAATTTTATATTATTTTTATATGCTGATATAAAAAATAAAATTTTTTTTTATTACAATTTTTAAAAATAAAAAATATTTTTTATTATAATCTCAAACACATTAGCATGTGTTTGGAAATACTACGGGTGAGATGAAATCAAGTTTTTTAAGTAAATCCATAAAAAAAAAAAACACTGTAAAGCATTTATTTATAGTTTTTAGGGATGTTTGGCTCCATGATTGAATTAAAATTTTTAAAAATATTTTAATTTTTTTTCTTGTTGTAAATTATTTTTTTATGTTTTTGAATTATTTTTTTAAAAAATAAAAATAAAAATAAAATATTATTTTAATATATTTTCAAATAAAAAATATTTTAAATCATAATATCTCTTATTTTTCCAAACACCCTTTTATACGGGTTGTGGTTAAATAAATCTATAGTTATTACAAAAAACCTAGATTCACATCACTTGACTTTCAAATACTGTATCATTTTTTTATATTTTTTTTTCATGTTATTAAATATTCAATTTTTTCTGTCATGTCCTTATTAAAAATTTTAATTTCTTAAAAAAATCGACTATCGATAGTTGATAAGTCATGGAATTAGACATGAGATGGATCTTTATCAGTATTCAACCAACATAGCCTAGTTGATGCTTTATTTTTTCTCTAATGTACCTGTTTCCATGCACATTTCTGGACTGCGATTTGTTTGGTTCTATTACTCTTGCCTATAAAAAAAGGAGGAAGAGATAGAATTGATTACTTCTTAAATTACAGGGACTTAAATGTATATACTTTAAAAAAGATAAAAAAAAAAAAAAAAACTCATAGGCTAACTTGGATTTTTCATTGGATAGTTTTGGATAAGTCTACGAGCGATATATATAAGCTTGTATACACAAGGAATTACTACTAATAATAGACTCTCTAATTTTAAAACTTAGATTATTAGGTTATATATATATATCCAAACTCCCCTTCGAACACATGTAACTCCAATTAGTTTGAGCAAAAGAGCTAAGTTTAAAACTTTAAATACCATACTCAAACTGTTAAATAAATATTTTTGTTGGAGAACGAATTATATTTGAATAAGTTAGACTTATTATGGAGATTTGTTCAACGAGTGGTCACTATTTTATATCAAAATAGCATAGAAATGAAAGTGTTTGTGTATGAAATGGATCAATGATCAAATAATCTAGATTTTTTTTATAGATTATTGTGAATTTTTAATGGCAGTGAAATTGGTGGAAAATCTAAAATCTTAACTTAGAGGTGAAGTTTTTTTTATTTTAAAGATACTTATATCATTAAACCCCAAAATCTGGCGAGATTAGTACATAAGCCGCAAAATATCATATTATGGCAAGATGCCACAAAGAAAACAAAACGCAATCTAAGGGAAATAAAAAAAAAAAAAAAGCTAAAGAACCACATATAGCCCTGCACAGAGAGGACAACAAGGTAATGAAGTTTGTGAGGACTATCAATATCCATCAGAATGAACTCATAGCTAAACTTTTCTTTACAAAACAAAACAGGTATAATCTTAAAAGCATAATAGCAGAAAACACATAAGCAAGGCTATAAGATTGATGGTTAATTCAAAACCATGCAACAAAGTCGCTTGATCTCTGCACTCCTTGTTTAGCCATGCAATCTGCCATGTGATTACTTTCATGAAAGATATGAAAGTAGGTAATTGAGCCAAAATATGTATTCAATTTGTTAACAGAGGAGAAAAGATTGTGGTGCTTCCAGGGACGGTTATGATGCTTATGTATCTAGCTAATAACATTAACAAAATCAGATTCTATAATGAGATATTG